TAAAGTAAAGCAGTGAGTGTCTTTGGGGAGCAGCGTGGGCCTGAAGGAGCAGGGCAGGGTGCTGGAAAGGTAGCAGGTAGGGGATAAAACTTGAGACCCATCTTCATAGAGCTTGCCAGGTGGTTTCCTCACTCAGGGCATTTTCCAGAAGCACCGAATCCCTCATACTCCCTCTGTGAGGTGAGGACTCCCTACTGTGGGGGGGGGGGAGGACAGGAAGAGGTAAGGCCTCAGTCCCCAAGTGTGCTGTTCCCCTGAAGGTGCAGAGGCCTGTGCCCTCTGAAAGCTTCCCAGGGTCACTCCTGTGAAGCAGTGGAACAGCATGTAGAGGACCTGAGTGGGCCCAGGCCTGGCTTCGCTGCTCCCTGGAGAGACTGAGGTGCTTGGGCCTCCAACAAACCAGGCAGAAGGACACTGCAAGGCCACTGGCCTGGGAGACCCACAGCTCCATGTGATCATCTGCATGAGGCATGGGGGAGGGGGGAGCGGTTCTGGGGATTCCGCATCTCTGCTGCTCGATTTCCTGGCCCTGCCATGGGGCCTCCTTCCAATCCAGCTCAGATGTTCTTGGAGACTCCCTGGCCCATTTTTTTGTTGTTGGCTTATTGGATTGGTCAGCTTTGTTCTGAACCAGAGAAAGCTGTTTCCTTTCATTCCTTTTCTCTCTCCTCTGTATTGTATCTCTTCAGCTCTGTTTTCTTCTTGAATCCTGTCTTGTGTCACATCTCCACCCCAACCCAGGACACAATGGTGAGAGAATTTGAGTCTTGTAGAGCTTATCTAGAGAAATTGAAGGTTCTCAAACACTGTGGGGTCTACCACCAAAAGTGTTTGCACATGGCACACATGATTTTTCACAAAATATTAGGGGGCTCACAGATACCCCCCCCCCGAGTCCCTGAATTACGGTGACAACTGAGGGAAACAGCCACATAGCATGCAAAATATAAAAAGAGACCTCTTTGTTCACTGAGAAACAAGCCCTGTGATCTGGGACATCTAGGATCCTGGTACTAGCTGGGAAAGGAAGTCACCTCAATAACTTAAAGAATTATTTCTGTGACGCAGAAAGCAATATGGAGTATGCAGCTGTGACAAGGTTGCTGGTTAACTTGGTTCTTAAGTACTAAAGAAAACCTAGCAGATTTGGTTCCCTCTGTAATGGGACCTGGCACCCATAAACCAAGCAGAAGGCACCAGTGTGGAGCAATCTCAGGCCAGGGTTTCCACCGAGCAGGACAAAATTGGGCCAGCTGGACACACTCCCTGTTGGGCATTAACAAGTAGACAAAGTCAGAAGTGGAGCTAGTTTACTAAGGCGCCCACCGCATTTTTTTTTGAAACTCCATGTCCGGACACCCCTCCTCTCCTGTCCCTCCTTCCCCTATCAACCCCAAGCTTCCCCACAGTGCAAAGTTCAATGAGGTAATAGAGCCACTGACAATGAGGAGAAAGGAGCAGGACTCCAAGCAGACAGAGGTGCGCAATAGCAAGGCAGGTAGGAAGGGAGACAGAGCCCAGAAGTGGGCCTCTCCATACCTCAGTTTCCTGTTTGCAACCACCACAATAACAATATCATCTTTGTCAGATGTTTGTTACCAATCTGAGTAATACTGTGTGCAGGGTATGAGAGGGAGTTATGCCCGGCACTCCTGTACTCTGAGCAACATGGTCATTACCTAAGTTACTTTTATTGCAGTTATTAACCAGCTAATAGAACTTCCTTGGCACTAGGCGTTGATGTTCTCAGAACTTTGCGTGTATGGGAACATTTACTTTCTTAACCCTCTAGGTAAATTCTCTTTTAGAGCCTCTGCTTCCGTTGACCCACATTTCCAGTCACAGTTGAGAAATCGGAAGTTAAGGCAGCCGGCTCAGGGTGACACAGGAGTTGAGGCAGACCCAGGGGACCGGGAGCAGGGCTGGCAGCTTCTAGCTCAAGGGCCAGAGCCAGACAGTCGTCACCCCCACGTACAACCCCCACCCCCAACCTCCTGCCCTAAAAGCTTCAGCTACACAGAGCTTCCCTGAGCTGCCCTCTCTCCCCCTCAAACCAAACACGGTGTCCTGAGTCTGGGCCAGTTTCCAGAAATTGGATAGAAGTCTTCTCCCTGATCCAGGGTGCTGCGGCCTGTGGGAGGGCAGAGACTATTTGCCACTTAACCCTCAGAGTGGTGCCCCAGGTCTGGACCCTCATGGTCACCAGAAATGGAAGGGTGCACAGGTGGATGGAGGGAGTGAGGGAGGGGCACCGGGCACATGTGGGGCCCCTGCCTGCTGCTTCTCCCGTCTACCTCTTCCCCTTCCCATCTTTCCTTTTCCCATAAATCTTCAGATGCTGAAGATCATCACGGCTTTTTCTTTCCACCTTCCTCTCTGCTTCCTTTAGCACACGTTCTTCCTTTCCCTGCAGTGTGGATGAAGTTAGCCCCCAACTCCAGGGCTTCATCCCTTTGATCTTTTTAGATGGGAGCAGGTTAGGGCCAGACAGAATGACAATCTCTCAGGTGACAAGTTTACGAGGGGGAAATTTAGAGGGGCCACTGAGGGCCACACACAAGGCCTTCCTGTCAGAGAGGGCTGTGGAATAGAGAAACCAAGAGCTGGCGGTTCGCCTACAGGACCTGTACCCATTCTGCTTTTTGCAGAATGGATGAACAAATGGCTTGGAGACACAGTCAGTATTTGATGATGTTGTACACACTAGACTAGAACTAATAGGGAACAGCAAAAACTAAAAGGTTTGTTAGGTCAGTAGTAGTTTAAGGAAATGTCCCACTCTTACCTTGCTTATTCATTCTGCATAGATACATCCACCAGCTAGTGTGTTTGCAGATGTGTGTGTTGAAGTGAACTTGAAAGCAAATGGCACAATCTCTGTCCTCAGGAAACATAGTGTCTCCTTGTAAAGATAAGGAATACATGCAAATACGCCAAAGTAGGATATGATGAATCCCCAAGGCTCAGACTGTGAGATAAGGGAGGCTGCAGGTACTACATGCAAAGTGCTTGAATTCAATGCCAGCTGTCGCCTTCTTCAGCAGGAGGCTGGGAGGTGGGCAGAGTGCTGTCCCACACTTAACGAGGGTCCTGAGGCCTCAGCCATGGACCTGAATCTCTGGCCCAAATGAGGGCAAAGCCCCTTCCAGCTCTGGCCCACAGCTCCTGCTTTCCTGGGTGCCTCTCGGGTTTGGAGTCTGCGCTAAGCCCTCACTTGTCTGCACTGTGCCTGTTGATGATATGGTCATGTCATCTGGTCTGCATGATGAAAACATAGGAGGACAGAGAATCCTATGGCTGCCCCTTCCCCAACACCCATCCTGCTGCGTGTGATGCCTGTAGCTGCTGCCTCCAGGAACAGAGATGCTTGCCCGGCGCAGGGGGCTCCCATATGTTCCCAGCTCTGTTTTCCTCCAGTGAGCCTGGAAAATAAGACCAGAGTTTTCTCAGCTCCCCCATTCTCATAAATGTGGCCCTGTCTGACCCTTCTTCAGAGGGAAGAGCCTGGTTCCAGTTGTGTTAGCTTGATGAAATAGAGTTGCTAGAAATCTGAAGCTTCCTTGCAGAAATTCATAGGATTCCACACACACCTTGTTCCTCCTTTACGCAACCCCAGGAAGTAAATGCGTTTTGAAGCACAGAGGTGTGGCTTTCACCATAAGCCAGCTGATCTGGCCACCTCCTAGAAGAGGAGAAATGATCATTCTGAGTCAAACGAGAGCCCGTTTTCCAGCAAAGCCTCCAGGAACTCTTTTCTGCAGTGAACCCAATGGCTGTGGTCCAGAGGGGCTGGTAAGGGCCTGTCTGAAGACTCCACAGCCATGCCCAGAGCCGTGCTGAGGTGGACACACCCACCAACAGCTAGGGGCTTCCATAGACACATTGCTGTTTAACATTCTCCTGCCCCAACATCCCCTCCCTCTGCAAAGTTTAAATGTGGAGATTAAATTCACTCAGTAGCCATTTATTCAGTACTTGGAATTGAGGCATGAGACAGAAAAATTAAGCTGATGGCTGAAATCCAATATCTTTCTGTATAAACTTCCTCTGTACAAGGAGAGAACTATTGTTTCAGCTTCTCAAAATGAACTTCAGTGTGAAATAAATCACGGCAAGAGGCTGATTGTTCAGAGCACCTGTGGGTTAACAGATGGAAAAGGAAAGGAGGAAGACATGGGAACTGAATCTAGCCCACCCCAGGCCTGGCAGCCTCCCTGGGACAGACACCCGCAAGCTTCCCAAATGATCCTACCTTCACGTTCTCACAGTTTCATTTTCCTCTGTTGTTCATTTCATTAACCAGAGACTCATTCTGATCCAAAATAGCACCTGCATGCTTTCAAAATGCAAATACAGATGTTTTACAAATAGAAACGTTTCACAACCCATTTTTATTCATGCTTTTATTAAATATTTGAGTTTTCATGTAAAAGCTGGAGAGAGAAGCTCAATGGCAATAACTGCTAACATTTATTGGGTCCCAGGCACAGTACTAAGGATCTTCATCTTGGGGATTCTTGGAGGGCTCCAACAACCCTTTGTAGTCAGGTGCGTCAACTGCTAAGAAATGGATAAGTGACGTCATTTGCCAAGTCACACTTTGGGAAGAGGGAAGAACATACCCGTTCAGCTTCAGAGCGGAGCAAGAGCTTTTAACCAGTAAACTAACCATTTCCTCTATGATCTCCTCTGTCTGTACCTGCTGAGTCCGGGGCTTGACAGTTGACCTGGAATTGCTTCCTCCATTTATCCAAGGCCACCCTCATCATATCTTGATGGCTCCAAAGTAGATGGGGACAGAGAAATCACTGACTTCTCTTTCCTGAGCAGCGCTCTTGGCTGAGAGGAGACAGTGGGGAGGAGCAGTCTGGCTGAGGACAGGCCCGGAGGGGCCAAAGCAGCTTGGGGCAAGCTTGGGCCCATGCAGGGCCTGCTGCCCCTGCTGAGTGGAGACCTGCAAAGCAAGCCTGTAACTGAAGTGCCTCTTCTTTCCTCCACAGGCATGAATGCTTTGCAGTTACAGAACCTGGCGACGCTGGCAGCAGCTGCAGCCGCAGCCCAGACCTCAGCCACCACCACCAATGCAAACCCTCTCTCCACCACAAGCAGCGCCCTGGGAGCCCTCACCAGTCCCGGTAAGGGGGCGAGGGGAGAAAGGCCTGTGTCCAGTGTCCAGGCCAAGGTCGGCATTTCCAGACAGAGCCAGGGAGCTTGCATTGGCTATCAAGGGGAGCTTATTTGTTTCATTATTTTAAGTTTGGGTGTGTGTGTCTTATTTTCCAGTGGTAAAATGAAAGCCTATTTTCTATAAGAGAACTCCCATGCTAGTGTTATCTGATATTTAAAAAGGGTTGTCCACTCAATCCTCATGAAGTCTTCACCATTATGAAGCACGTTAGTCTCTTAAGCAGCCTTTATTCTCCTGTTCTTTTTTTTTAATCTCCGTTAAATTTCAGCATTCCTTACCATCCCATTGTCAGATTTCACACCAGCCACATCCTTCCTATTTGACTTTAAAATCCATGCCCTGGAGGAGAGCACCTTTTTTATTTTTTTTTTTAAGATTTATTTATTTATGCATAAAAGAACTAGAGTACAAGCCAGAGGTGTGGGGGGTGAAAAGATTCACCACAGAGTGTGAGACAGAATAGGCAGATTGATTGAAACACACTACTGAGGGGAGTGGTGGGTGGGACAGGAGAGGTCTGCTGTACCATGTGGGTCAGCAGCCCTGCTGGGGATTGAACTCATGCTGCAGTGGCTTTGGAGAGCTTCATAGTGCTGGGCTTTAACCTGTTGCGCCACAGAGAGAGCCCACACCTTTGTTGTCCATTCATGGTCATGTTTTGTGCTTTGTGATTTAAAGTCTTTCCTCAGAAACTATGTTGCCTTATTAAGAAGCAGGTGCCTCTTTTTTTTTTTTTTTTTAATGCAAGCCAGACATAATGCAGTTGCTTAGATACAGTGATAATGTTTTTTTCAAAAAAAAAAAAGTGATTCCCTGGCTTTTCTTCCTCTCTGAATCTTCTAGACCTTGATAGATGATCTCCCCTCCTGTTATGGTTCATGAAGAAGTGAGTCTGGGCCTTCTAACTTTGAAAAATCCATGACCGTCTCCCAAGTAGGCCCCAGGATTATCTAAGTGTTGAGAAAACTCTTATGTAATCATGTGGGGCATTTTGTTCAGAAAAACACGAAATGAAAGCTGCCGTGCACCACAGCCCCACTCTCTAATGACTTTGACTGGCAGAATGGAAGCCTGCTCCTGCAGTAGCCTGTTTGTGAAACATTGCGCATCTAATTCATTTCCCTCTGAGTACAGTTTTGAGGGAGAAATCTAAGAGATGTTTATGAGACAGGGAGGTTTCTCTTTAATGTGCTGTAACCTCACAGCAATAGCACGTAGATGTATTGACTTCATTTCGAAATGTCTTGAAAAGGCACCCTATTTGTGGGCCACGTTTTATGAAAAATGAACTTGAATTCTTTTTTTCAAACAAGCTATAGCTGTAATGCAAAATATAGAGTTGTTATTTAAATCCTCTGGTAATTCCTTTAAACTATATTTTAACATAAATTTCCCCTTTTTCAAAATAATTTCTTAATAGAAATTAAACTTTTCACCTCTCTAATGTCTGTTTTACAAATTAGATTATGAAGTAATCTCTTAAATAAGATTTTCTGTCTCCCAGTGAGACCTATGAAATGATCACACACAGAGCATTATACAACATTTTATTGTATGTTTGGTTAGAAGCTGGTATTTTTCATTAAGGAGAAAAAAAACTGAAGATCACTTCAAATCAGAATGTTTTTTTGTTTATATGAAAATGAAGAGGATTAGCTCTTTTTTTTTAAAGAAAAAGCGATGTTAACTTTACTTTGGCAAAAGTAACCTGTAACTTCTCCAATCTCGCCTTCCCCTTTGTTCCTTATTGTGAGCGACCAGCGGGAACCAGCCAAATCATCAGTAACAAACTAGAGAAAAAACAGAGAAGTAAGAAGCCACGTAGCCTGTAGTTTTGGACCATTAGACCTTAAAAAATTAACTTCGATATACTCTATACACGCACATACATGTAGATCGATATATCAGTAGGTTAGAACAACCATTCTGTTATCACCAGTGGCTATGATGGTTAAGGGTAAGTGACTCGTAGCCATCTGACTTTAGGAATACATCCTTCCACTGAGGTTTGGGCTGGACTGTGTCTTGGTTCCAGGGAGTCAGAATTAATGTTTGAACGTTTGGTTCTTCTTTAAAAGAAGATTCGCCAGGTTAAGAAGCCACGCGCAGGAGAAAATATACACAGACTTGTGTGGCTAACACAAATGGTAGCAGTAGTTACTAGGGGCTGGCTCTCACCAGGGGTGGCCAGGGACACAGAGGAGAAGCTGACACGTTCCTGCCTTGCAGTCTTGCAGGGAACTCCGCCATTGAGCATGTGAGCAGGTACCGCGTGAGGAGGGATCGCACAGAATAAGGCGGCGTGAGGAAAGGGAAGGGCCCCTGGGCACAGGGCAGACAGGTGTGAGCGCTGCGCCGGACCCAGACCACTGGGAAGCCAGAGTGCCTGGCTGGAGGTGAGGGCCTTATCCCGGGAGCCACAGTCATTCCCAGCATGGTCAGTGCGTGAATGTGGCGTCACCTTCTTAAAAAGAGCAGACGCAGCCAGCCTAGGAAGATGATCAGAGCATTCAAGGAACCTGAGCTTATGTAGCCAGGTTTTTCCTGAGACCTTACTGAAAGGGGGTCTGTGGTCTACAATGGACTTTCTGCTGCATGCTCCCATGAGACCCGCCTCTAGCACACTGTCCTTCTCTGAGCTCCTAACATAGCATTCTGCCTGCGTGTAAATCCTGCTAACTGAGGTATCGTGGCAAGTGAGTTCTTTCTTCTCTATTGAGGAACACGTCTAAAAGCATTTCATTAGAATCCTGAAGTGTGGCAGCAGAAATTATTTAAATCTGCATTTCAATTATTTTTCTTAAGTGTAACTAAAAACTCTGGCATTTAATGAAAGTAAATAATATTTGTCTAATTTCCATCAGGGACATTTTCAAAGTCAGAAAATGTGGGTAGTGGAATTTCATGACTTTTTAGTTCATCAGAGCAAATATCTTATGAAAATCAAGCAGTCGGGGACTGTTCCCAAGGCCAGTGCCATCACTTATTTTTAAATAGTAAAAACAGGACTTATCTTCATAGTGCTCACAAGCCCCGCCACCCCTCCCGCCGCTCCTGCTCAGATCTCGGCTGTGCCCTGTTTTTATATTCACCTCTTATGCGTAAGTCAAATCCATCTAGAACGGACAGGGACAACTCAATCCCCCAAACTATTAATTTTTTTAATAATTGTAAATTTATCACTCCAATTTTGCATACCCAGGAACATCTCCCTACAGCATTATTATAAATGATTTTAAACAGCCTATGCTTTAGAACATTAAAGATTAAGCTTTAATTTTTGTTAAAAAAAAAATCCCCTCAGGCAATAAATAGATTCCTTTGTCTCGTGGCCTTGAAATAAAAATTAAAATAGTTTAAATTGCCCATGGTTAGAATAAGTGTTTCATGCAATTATCAGATGGTAGTGAATAAAATTAGAAATTAAATCATGAAAGAATAAAAACCAGGTAAATGCATATTATGCCTTTTATGAGTTTCTCATGGGTCTTTTGGAGCCTAATTTAATTGTGTTCCTTCTCTTTTATTTTGATGTGATAATTTTTCCTTTGTTTACTTTACTCTCCTATTTAGTTAATTAATTCCTGGGTCATTTCTTCTTACCCGGTTTTGAACCTACTCTTGAGGAATGTTTGTGTGTTGTTGCAGAGGCAAACTGCATACAAGGTGTGCAGCTAGGTCTTACAGAAGGATGATATTTGTCTTCTTCTATCCACTTGTTGATTTCTTCTTTTTGTCTGGTAATTTTGAGTGTCTGGGAGAGATCATGTGAGTACTACCTCATAAGCACATTTCCTTGGCATTTTCTGTATAAAACAAATTTGTGTTCATGTACCACATCATTCGCCTGGCCTTCTATTTCCTTTTTTTTTTTTTTTTTTAAGATATATTAAAATTCCCCAACTGTTCTGAAAGTGTATTCAGTCAAGTGCATACTTCAAGATAATAGTTTCTTTCAACAATGTTTTCTGAAATGCTAGGAATGTTTCCATCCCCACTATTGACTTTTCAAAGAATTTTCACTTTAACTTCCAGGCAATACTTTCACCATGCTCAAGATGTTCACTGCCTCCTTGAAGGCTGTCACACATACAGAGTTCCAAGAAAGTGATGACACTTTCTTGTGGAATGATTGAGGGGAACGCTCTGGTCCTCACATAATAAGGACCAGTGTGCCCCTTAAGTGTCCTGTACCATGTCACCAGGGCAGTGATGGAGAAGAGCAAGCAAACAGGCTGAAGGGCAGTGGGAATTCAGATGTCATCTGGAGCCTTTCAGGCTTCCAGAACTTTTTGTCCCCACCATTTTTGTCAGCAGGTCTGCAGGTGTACCCCATGAGAACTCAAATCCTGTGAGTGCAAGAGCTCAAAGAACAGAGTCTTCTCAGTTCAGGGCAACTATGTGAAATGAATTGGGCCCTGACCTGCCCCTTTCAGGCCATCCCCCGCAGGGGGCAGTAACACAAAGAGTCTGATGAGGCCAAAACTGAGGGACAAACAGACAGAGGGTACAGGGAGAAGCCATCCCCCCCCCCCCCCCC